GCTGTTAACAGAACACACAACTGGAAGACACCTGGTGTAGACAACATTCACAATTTCTGGTACAAAAAGTTTACGTCACTGCACCAGGAACTAGCTAAACATCTAACACACATCATCATCAATCCACAAGACATGCCAAAATTTCTTACTCAGGCCATCACCTACATGAAATCTAAAACCAACAACACCACAGACCCCAAACAATACAGACCAATTACATGTCTTCCAACACTCTACAAATTATTGACATCCTGCATTGCAAACAAAATATACAAACATGTTGAAGAACACGATATTCTTACAGAACAACAAAAAGGTTGCCGTAGAAATCACAGGGGATGCAAAGAACAGTTACTTGTAGACTCAGCCATTCTATGGCAAGCACACAAACAACACAGAAACATACACATGGTATATATAGACTACAGAAAAGCATTCGACAGCATTCCACACAGTTGGCTGCTACATATTCTACACATTTTCAAAATACATCCATCACTCATTGCATTCTTCGAAAACACTATGCAGCACTGGAGAACAACACTGCATCTCAGGGTTAGTAACACTTCCATACAAACAAATGAAATATTCATTAGGTGAGGAATTTTTCAAGGAGATTCCTTGAGTTCTCTCTGGTTCTGCCTAGCCCTGAACCTATTATCCAACATGTTAAACAACATCTCATGTACATGGATGACATAAAACTTTATGCAGCTCCTACAAATCACACACTCATACATTAAGGATATACAAATGGAATTTGGCTTAGACAAATACAAAACACTTCACATAGAAAAAGGAATCCTGAAGAAAGAAGATTTTGCACTTGGAAATGGAGACGTTATTGAATACATGGAAGAGGGCAAGGTCTACAAGTATTTAGGGTTCCAACAGGCCAAACTAACAGAACATACACAAATAAAGCAAAGATTAATTAAAGAATACCAAAGTAGGTTAAATGTTATCCTCAGAACACAGTTAAATGCAAAACACACAGTTAAAGCAATAAACACATATGTCGTCCCAGTACTCGCTTATTCTTTTGGAGTTATACATTGTACTCGCACTGATCTTGAGCAACTTAAAAGGAAAACAAGAACAACACTTACTAAGCATAAACATCATCATCCTAAATCAGCCATAGAAAGATTAACCCTTCCATGTAAAGATGGCAGACGTGGCCTGATTGACATAGTAAACCTTCACTACAAACAAATACAGTCACTGCGAGAGTTTTTCTACCAAAAAAAAGAAACATCACAGTTACATAAAGCAGTAACTCTAGCAGACTCAAATAACACACCATTAAATTTACATTCACAACATATGGACACTACACAGCATATGAAAAGCATACACACCATTAGGCAATCGTGGGTTCAAAAGGCACTCCATGGCAGGCATCCTTATGACCTGGCCCAGGATATTGTTGACAACTGCATCAAATAGTTGGTTAGCTTGAGGATGCCTCTTTGGGGAGACGGAAGGATTCATGATTGCCATACAGGATCAGGTCATAAATACTAAAAACTACAGAAAACACATACTCAAAGATACAAATCTCACAAATGACGCATGCAGAAAATGTCACATCATGCCAGAAACTATACAACACATTACATCTGGGTGCAAGCTCTTGGCATAGACAGATTATTTACATAGACANGGAAGGATTCATGATTGCCATACAGGATCAGGTCATAAATACTAAAAACTACAGAAAACACATACTCAAAGATACAACACTCACAAATGACACATGCAGAAAATGTCACATCATGCCAGAAACTATACAACACATCACTTGTGGTGCAAGCTTTTAGCATAGACAGATTATCTACATGAACATAATCTAGTAGCAAATATAAATACACCAAGAGCTTGCAAAGAAACAGATTATTAGACATCCACAAACCATACTACAAATACATTCCACAGACAGTATTGGAAAACAACATGCACAAAATGTATTATGACAGAGCTGTAATCACAGATAAAACAATTTACCACAACAGACCAGACATCACACTCATTGACAAACACAATAAAATCACATACATTATAGACGTATCCATTCCAAACATTCACAATGTACAAAACACATGAACTGAAAAAATCAGCAAGTAGGCCTACACAGAACTTTGCCCAGGAAATAAGTCATCGGTGGAGGATGGATAGGGTGCTTATTGTATCTGTCGTTCTGTTCTCTACAGGTGTACACAAAAACTTGGGCACATTACAGTTGAATAGAAATACATACATAACACTACAGAAGGCCACTATATTGAATACATGCCATATTGTTAGGAAATTCCTGAATACAGACACATACTGAGACACTTATTTAATTATTGTCTATTTTTGGTTACTATGCCTGGACTCTGGTTTGGAATAGTACACAGCCACCTGTGTCAACCAAGTTTAATTCACTAAACCCAACATAATAAATAGTAATAACTAAAATTAATCACTTTAAAAAACTTAGGATTTCATTTAATAAGAGAATTATTTAGTTCTTAATGCAGTTTATTGATACTGATATTGTTATGACATTAATTAAAGTATTCAAAATTTGATAGTGTAATTGACTGAAGTAATACCTTTGTGTGTAATTAGCTGAAGCTGATTACACACAAAGGTATTACTTTCTGTGTAATTAGCTGAAGCTAATTACACAGAGAGTATTACTTCTGTATTACTTCTGTGGTTGAACCCACTAGGGACTTGAAAAATAAATTACAGCTCTCCCTTAATAGTCCGACAGGTATGTAACCAAAGGGGTGTTGGATTACCACAAGTATCCGGATTACCGAAAATAATTACATATTTTGCATTGCTAGCAGTAGCTTACAATATTCCCTACTCCAACTGTTCGAACAGAACTGCTCACAGAAAACGCACGAAATGTGTGTCATCGTGTAAGAATTGGATGGGGAGATTCACGTCGCGACATGCTTCTGTGCAAGCAGACACGTAACGGGGACGGGCACCTTGACGGGAGGTGCGTCGGACTACTGAGCATGTCTGATTGAAAAACGTCGGACTATCAAGGGAGAGCTGTACATAGAATAATAAATGTAAATGGACTTTGGTTCTCACAATCGAAATAAAAACCACACATTAACCAATAAAACAAATTCGTATTCGATTAATTTTTTAATGCTTTTCTTGGGCACATTGCCTGGTAAAGCGACTTTAATACAGCTAGATGAGCGAGCTAATGACTTGGCTCGTTTCAAACGAAACGGGTTTGCTTATTCAGCTGTATTGAAGCAAGCCACTTTACTAAGCGATATGGCAAAGAATTCGAAGTGTAGTTCAAATTTTTTGCCATAAATTAAAAATTTAAATTTCAGAAAATTCAAAATTAAGTCGTATTTTATTCTTTTTACTTTGAAAAACAAAATGTATTTATATATTATGTAAGCACGATGCTGATTCTGGCATTTGTGAAAATTGCGGTACACAATGCGATTGAATCCATATATATATATAAAGATAAACACCATTCCTTGATAAATATGTAACCAATTCTAAGAAATTCGTATAAAAATATTAAAAATGTGAAGCTATAAATAATTACAGCTCCAAAGAAAAATACAGTAGACCCCCTATAAAACGGGTTCATATAGTTCGGATTCCTGTATGACGGCGAAAAAATTGCGACAGTATTCGTACAAACACGGTAAAAAAAACTAATATAATTCGGTAAAACGTCATCGCCGACTCCTGTCGCAGCAGGATTGGTCGAATCTAGACCAATAGCGGATATTATTGTTGTTGTCGAAACCGTGTTGTATTTATGTATTGTATACTGGCATAATGAAGTGACTTTTCTTCAACACTAGGCAAGTTTCAATCTTTATTCAGTTAGAATACGTGCCGGGCTGTGATTGGCTCATGTATTTAAGGACTTGTAGAAAATGGATTTCGTAAAAACCGGAACGTATCTACCGTGTTATCGGAGGGTCGACTGTATATTTATTGTCCTGAATCAGACGGCGGGATTTCCGAGGCGATCTAAAAGTAATTTTAAAAAACAAAAATGTTGACAAAATATAGCAAAATTTTTAATAAGAGCATAGTAAAAACAGATAAAAGTTTCATTTCGTTGTTTACCGCGTCATTTTACAGCTCCGGGGAATCTACGATCGAATTCGGGTAATCGAAAGATATGAAATTTTTTCATCAGAGATTCATCTCGTATATACGGCTCGGCCGAATCCTCATTGGAGTGGTAAAAATGGACCTCATAGTAGCGACGGAAACGATAAGATATTGGTATTTTAGAAAATATAAATTATTGATAAAACTGATATCGATGAAACACGGTTGCCAAGATTTACTGGCAGCAATGCCCACAGAGAGAAAACGGTTTTAAAATCGCTTTTAATTATATAATAAAACTTGAATTAATACCCAGTACTTAAGTTTTTACAAATTAATCGGAATTTAACGAAATAATAAAATAATACATTAATTAATTTTAAAAAAAAGCTTTTTAAAAAAAAAATTAAATCGAGGAACTAGAGGGTGCTATTTACAGTATCGGACGACCGTTCGTCTGCAGTTTATTTTTGTACGTATCTGCAGTATTAAATACAGTTATTAAAAAAGAAAGAAGGAAAAATAAATAAATAAAGATAAAAACAAGAGCGACGTCGAGATGAAACTTCACGTTAATGTAACGTATTGGTAAGCCATATTCCAATATTTCGTCATATTTTGTAAATACAAAGCACGAATGAATATTTTAATGACGTAATAACGTTAAAATACATCTCTTTGTATTGTAACAATGGTTAAATGTCTTTCGTATTATACCATAAAACATATTTTTTGACATTCCAATAATAACTAAAAATAGAAAATTCAAGGTTAACTGTTCTATTTACTGACAAGGATGAAGAAACTTTTTAATTCAATAGTAAACAAATTTTAAAAAATTAAAAGGACAAATACATAATTTTAATTGAAATTCATTACAGAATTTAATAGTTTGCAAAATATATATTTTTTTTATTATATGAGAGGAGTCAAGGAATATCTGTGTCCAGGTGGTGAGTTTGTGCCTCGTAGATGGAGTTTTATGGATTTTCTTTACATGTCTAATGCTTACTGTTAGTGTTACCACCCGTCCGGTTTTTTTTTTTTTTTTTTTTTTCTTCTGAAGTGAAACTCCTGCTGATTGCAACCTCTGT